CCTCACGCGTCTCGAGTACAGGGCGCGGTGAGTAATCCAGGGCCGATCAAAGCGCACAGGACTGGAAACGTCAGCCGAACCAGGGGCGTCGAGCAGGTCAAAGGTCCGACTAGCGGAACCGATCCAGTCAAGCTCCTCTCGATAGTGCCCTTGCAGGTCGAGCGGAGGTGGAAAAGCGAGTGCCGGGTCAGACAAAGTCGCTCGACGGTCTCGAATAGTGTCGACGGAGACTCACCGCTCGCAAGGCAGGCCCAGGCTTCCGTCCCGATCGCGAGCGTCCTTGCATTCAGGGTGTACGGCCGAGCTTGAGTGCAATAATAAGCGAAAGATACTATCAGGGAACCCGAGTCGATGCTCGATGGAGTGTGTGGGCCAGACGTGTGTACCGCACAAAGGTGAATGGGACGACTGTGAAGGGGAAGTTGCGAGTAAGGCCTCATCGGTCGGAATCCGTTGCGCTACCCGAGGTCCTGGCCCCATCCGGGCTTCCGCGTGACGAGTACAGACGGGTACAGCATCGATTGTCGCATATCGGGGCTATACAAGCTCAAAGCACCGCAAACGTCAGCCATGACCGGGCCGTGGTGCTCCGTACGGGCGTGGTCTGTGAAGATCGGTTCCTTTCGACTAGCTTCCCTGGTCCCTCACGGCCTCACGCGTCTCGAGTACAGGGCGCGGTGAGTAATCCAGGGCCGATCAAAGCGGCGCTTACAAACGCGCCAGTGCCGTCGATACAATGTATGTCGCTGCCTGCAAGCTCACCTGCATTACGCACCTCATCCAGAACCCTGCGGGTGACCGTCCCGACATGCCCAGGCACCGCATGAGCATTGGTCATTGCCCTGTCATTCCACAGGACTTCAGTAGCATGGCATCGTGTCTCCCTGCTGCGCCCGACGATATGAGGTAAAGGTCCTAAGCTTACATTGTCCAACATACGGCAGCTGTTGTACCCTGTCGTTGCTTCGGTGACGACTGCGCACCATTTCGAACTATACTTATATTGGGTATTCACAAGGTCTATCAAGAGCGCGGGATTTCGCTCAGGGTATTGTGAACCATTGCTCACCTCTGTACGCTCGGTTGACGCTATTCGATGTCCTTGCAACTGTTCAAAGGTAGTCTATTTCGAACGCGCGGACGGTTCTCTGCACATGGAAAGGTGCCACAATAATCGCAGTATAGTGAGGCGTGCGCAGCTCGAAACGGTCGCGCAGAGCGCGACCGTGGAGAGCAGCACGCGAATAGATGAAGTAGACGTGACGGTGGGCATGGAGGTGGTCAATCGACCCCAGACCTCAGTTAGACTGTAGATTATTTGTGCAAGAGGTAGCTTTCAAGATATACTCTTCCCGAAGAGGGAGTTACGCCCCGGTAATGCCCCGGAGGGGCTGTGCTGTCCAAGCAAAAGGACAGAGAAAGCATGCCGGCAAAGCGGACCGGCGGACACGACGAGCCGAAAGACTTTCGGCCCGTTGCGGACCGTCAAAGACTTTCGCGTGGTGACAAGCCGGGTCTCTTAGCCTCGGAACTATACACTCAGCTCCAGCACTCCTCATACAGTCTGCCCTCCCTCTCCATCCTGTTCACATAGGCAGTCGCCGCGTGCTTATCCAGGCCGCCCTCAACATGCGCGGCATGCGCGAGGGCCCGACGCACAGAGGTCGGCATCTTGTTGGACGAGCTACATCTTCCTGGTCAGGGTACAGTCGGTCAAATCAAACGTGCGCACGTACCCAGAGATGTGGACCCAGCCGTCACGCTTCCCTATCGCCTCCCAAACCTGCTTACTGTCCTCTTCTACGAGATTCTGCATGTACACGCGCCTATGGCCTTCGTCACCATCTCTCGAGAATGCAGTCCGGTATGTCAGACTCTGCTCGTCGACATAGCGTTTCCACTGGTCTGCGTGGTGCTGATCCTTATTCGCAGATCTGCAACCAAAGTACAGCGTGTTATCTGAGAAGATAGGGTCAGCGAGACCGTAGTAGCGCATGTACCGCTCGCATACTCACTACGACTGCCGTCGAGTATCCTGGTCTCGAGAAGCGAGCGCATAGGTGCGATTCCCGTACCGGGGCCGACGCAGACAACAGGAACAGCAGGATCCGAAGGTATGGCGAGTAGCCCCTTCCTGATCCCGATGCGCAAAGTTAAGCCCGCAGATAGATATCAGCCACGGCAGGATGGTCGTGAACCGCGAAAGATGGCACACCTGGCTTGAGACTAGACATATACGTAGTCGCGATGTCCCGCCTTGGCCGTCGTAGTTTGGTACGATAGCTCACAATGGCTATGCATATCTGAAGCTTTCGCGGATGCCGCTGGAAGACGGTCAGGGTTGTTGGCGTGCGCGAGAGCACCAAAGCGTACCGCGACGGAGCTTGCCATGCTGAATTCGCGCGGTCGAGGGGCTGGAAATACGTCAAAGACGTAGGTTAAGGGTATCTTGACGTTGCGGAACTCTTCTAAGACCTCGACGATGGTGCGCCGGACTTTGGATGTGTACTCGTACAAGTCCTCCTACTCACGGCCATAAGTTAGCAAGCGATTATACGTTACGCGAGGTGAGAGAGGGTACTCACGGCACCCGCTTTGGTCGTGATGAACTCGTCCATCTTCTCCCTTTCTCGGTCGTCGGATGTGAAGTTCCTCAGGACTGCGATGAAGCTGCGTTTGGGAACAAACGTGATGTCCACGTAACGCGTAAGCGTAATGTGGTGGTAACCGGAAGGTATGCAGGTAGTTGTTGATCTACAGGTGACCGTCAGCCGGTAGACGGGTTGTCGGATGCGTTCGCATACTTTGGTGAACGTGATCTGCTCTCAGCCAACCGTCTGCGATCTCTTCCCAGCCCTGAAATTGCAGAACAGACTCGACGTCATCCGAAGGCGCGTCGGGATGGATGACCGCCACACCTCCCGATTCATACCTGAGAATTGTGGGCGTTCAGTGAGAGAGACTTGTGGCGAGATCACATACTCAAGGTCGGCGTCTGTAGCGAATTCGAAGTGTCGAACGTCTTGTTACCAGTCGGGTGCAGTCATACATTTGTTCTCCTCGAGCATAAAGCCCCAGTAGCTTGGAGTGTCGAGTAAGGGATCCCGCGTCAGCGCCAGCTCCTCGCTTGTAGCTTTGGTGAGGGTCACGCGAGCAGGCCACAGCTGAGGGAAAGGTTCCAAGCTTGAGCTCCCGGAGGGAGGGTAAAGTTCCAGCAACCGTCTGGTGAGTTGTGTTATCCAAGGATCCAAAGCGCCGTCTGTTCTGACGTACGACAAAAGTGTCAGACCTCTACGTTGGACTCAAGTTCTGCCAAACACTCACCCGAGTTCGTGTCGGGAATCGCCCTCTCCGCGCTCGCAGATTGACGTCGCGCCCAGTGCCTCAAGTCGCCTATCAAGCCTCTTCGCGGGCCAACAGCTCGTATGCGGAATCGCCGAGCCCGAACACGGCGTAGCGTAGATCTTCGAGGAGGTCGTGCGGCCAGTCCGCACGAAAAAGCAGTGACCAGAGCAGAGTCATGGTACGAGACTCCTTCCTGGTCCCCGCGGTAACAATAACAAATATGATGAGATATTCATCTACGATGTCCTCCTGGGTAGTCTCGTATGAGGATGCAAGCAGTCAGACCGGACGGGCATCGCACGTACACTGGGTTAGTCCTCGACGTTGTATATTCGGCATTTGAAGCCGGCATGTCGACAGTGTCGAGCGATCCGAGCCGCGACTTCTTGTGCAGTGCCGGTCTCCGTGGCGTATAGAAGGGTGAGCGATCGTTGCTCATGATCGTGGTGGTCAGAGTCCGTCATTGCGCGTGGAACACGAAAACGCAAGCGGCGTTATCTCTGCGGGGAGATAAGATAATCCGCAGACGCGGTCACATGGCTTTGAACGCATTTTAAGCCATGCCCTCCAACAGCTCGGTGCCGTAATTCGTGGGCATTCGACAGTACACACTTGGTGCCCACATCAGGCCGCAGGACACCGTGCACCTATCATGTTTTCCGGGCACCACAAACATAATATCATAACGATATACCCGACGTATGTACTCTAGAGGCGTAGTCACACAGGGTATACTGGGCTTTGCTCGTCCGGTTAATCGCATCTCTCACTCGCATTATTGATCTACCGCTAGTAGTATAGAGTTCCAGCTCCAGGTATAACACGTTTGATTTCAATCGGAGGTCGCGACACTCGTACGTAATACAATATACAGCTGATGGGACTAGTGTCTTCGTTAGCTATGAGAGCACCGATGCAAACATGCGCGCTCTTCAGCCACATAGGTAACAAGTCAAGATACTCATCCGGTTATCAATGAGCTCAGATATGAGACCTTCGGTCAAGCAGGCTTCTGTTCGATCGGCCCATACCCGCGTGCACACCCCCCGCGCACAATCGCATCCCTCAAATGTCAGGCATCTGACGGGGCCGCTCCCCTTCTCAGTACGATTTTCCAGCACATATACCATGACATTCCACCACAACAGCGTTTTTTTCGACAGAGTTATACCAGATCACATATCTCCCGACCGTGGACGGAGGTCCACCATGCCCAAACCCAGGGTGTGCAAAGACGGAAACGGCACGGCCGCGGAGTATTCGCCATTTGTCGTTGATTGAAGCATCCATAGTAGACGTTTAGGAACCTCCCCTCTGAGCACAAGTGTCGTGATCCGTGTCATCTCCCGTCCTAGGGCAACCATTGCGGCACATAAGCCATGGTACATCGCACAATCCGGCTCCACGAGCGCGAAATGTCGGTAGCGGGAGACGTCCAAGCGTTGTGGTAGCGCTAAAAAAGCTCCACAAAGCTCGATCCCGTCAAGCTGGGAAGCTTGAGGCGCAGAATCGGCAGGCCGGATGCAGTATCGGCCAAGAACAAGGATGTACTCGATACGGATCTAGATCCCTCGCTGGTCAGCGGAAATCGGCGTTGTTGAAGCGCGAGGACTTGAACTATAAACTCGCTACCTGTTACTTCGTCGGAGATATTGACGACAAGCACTTTCACGGGAGGAGCGACGATGGTCTTGAGTAGATCTAAAGCTCGAGCAGGGCAGCAACGTGCATTGCAGATGTTCGAGGCACACAGCGGTTCGATCGACAAGCGGCAATGTGATCACGCCGTCCGGACGCAAAGTAAGAGATTCCAAAAGTGGCAATGCCCGTAGCAATCCATAAAGATTAACCATGCCATCCATCGCCCTGGCCTCGTTGTCTCTGGGGTACAGCCGTAGAGAGCGAAGGCTAGGCAGCGTCGATGTTGGGGACGGCAGCATGCCGATCGAGTTGGTGTGGTCCAAGACAGGAGCGTTGAGCGCTACCATAAATGCAGGGGTGGCGGATTAGTCAAGCAAATCATCGTCCATCACAATCGACACGTACTCGGTGACCGGTAGAGGATCCGCGAACAAGACTTCGGCATCACCACGAACGATGGCTGCCTTGGAAATGGAACAGCTGAAACGGCGAGCGCGGCTTCTGTATTTGAGGGACCAGCTCGGAGTCAGCGGCTGAGAGTGCTGGTATCGGTGCGAGCCGATGCCCTTCGCGTCGTGTATGACATTTCTCATGCTCAATGGACAATCGCGAGCGCGCGTAATGAGCTCGTCCGCGATGCTAGAACCCGGAAAGACACAGGCCGCGTCTGCCCATAGAGACGCAGCACATATCCCGACGTATCTCCAGCTTCTGCAGACGTGTGTGGTTGAGATCCAACCCAGCTTGTATGATCTCGAGTGAAAGTCATAGCCAACTGGTTCGGCATCTGCGGCGTGATCTAATATCTCCCGTACGATGTCGGGAGGAAGTAGTTGCGGGGACATTTTACGAGGGAGCGCAGCAAAAATGTTCGAGGAGGACTGGAGAAGTATATATCCTAGGGAAGAGGTAGATGGTGGTTGGAGATGAGCGTGAAGACGAACCACTGGCGCGTTGGAAGCTCAGCCCAAGCTCAGCCCGGTCCGGTCGGATCGGCCCGGTTCAAGTCTCGGGTTAGGGTAAAGATCATGCTTGATCAAGGGCCACTATCCGGCGGCGCTGTAGCAATATGGAAGAAGGCCCTCTTGAGGACTGGTAGAGCCTTGTGCCATGACTTTCTTCATGGTGTTACGACCAGACTGCATAATGCGCGCAAAATCAGGCCTAGACAGTCCAAACACGCTCGCCGCGCAGCTCGTCTACTGGACCCTCCGCCCGCAGAGTCTCCTTAAACACTCTGTCCTCTGTCTTCCTCCACGACCCTCGCACCCTCCATACTCCTACAAGTTTGTCAAGCCTCAAGGGCAAAAATCCGAGCGCCTTACATCGCACATACAGAACGCTCGCAAGCGTTCTCCACTACGGCCCGGCCTGGCCGATAGGGTTTCCCAAGCGGAAGTGTATGTGCATGCTCGAGATCATGAGGGCTCTCAAAGCTGGTAGAACGGTGTGTGGTGCGTTTGAAGCGAGTACGCGGAGGTGCTTCGCGGAGTACCAGGGGTTCATGCCGGATTTTTCACACAGTCCGAACTCATCATGTATACTACTCGGCCGTCCTGCAAGGAATGACAAGCTTTGCTCATCTTTAGGGAAGGCCTCTAGACCGAAGAGAACTTAGATGACTACAATATCAGGTCTTCTGGGTCCAGCTGGATGTAATTTACATAGTGTACTGGCCTGAAACAGAAGTTCAGTTCTTGCACGGGCGCACTACACTGCTAAATAGGCACTCACCACCCTGAAGAGCAGCCCGAACACCAACTGGTAGACCGCGTCGGTTCTGGACGTGGCCGTCCCATCGGGTCATCGGTCAGATATGGCACAGCGTCTTGTTTGCCGGACGTGAAGAGATATACGATGTTCGGCGTCGGTATAGGATTGCCGAATGGGTGTCCGAATCCGTGAGTGGTGCGAGCGCCGAAGTGAGGGGCGTGGGGAGAGTGGTCATGCACGATCGCGTGGGTCATACCCGGGCGCGGTAATGGTGGCGCAGACCAATCGGTGACCTGGAAGTCATTGACGTTCCGTGTCAGAGTGACTGTGTACGCAGGTTAGACGCACCTTTCGGGAAGCATGAGTGAACATACCGAGGAGTAGCGAGTGTACAGCGACACCGTGCCTCTGCGCGAGAGAAGGGGCGTGCTTCATGAAGTATCTCCACGCGTCGCTCCCGCACGTCTGGAAGTGAACACAGTCACCTTTCCCTGCGGCTTCAACGCGATAGGTCATCTGCAAATCGATAAGTATGAGCGACAACATCTGAACAAGGACAACACGCGTATCCTTCAAGTTCGTCGGGAAGTAGGTGAGGTCTCGCCTGTTCTCTATCCGGTCGCCCGCTGTCCCAACGCACAATCTCGTCATCGACCTCCTTGACCCGCTGAAGTATGTGGCTGCTTCCATCTTCGAAGATGTTGCCAAGAACCCGGACGCTCTCGAAGCTCTCGCTATCGTCCGCCAGTACACCGTAGTCGCCCAGTGCCGTCGCACCGGTAGGGCAACGCTCGCACCACGAGTGCTCGTGTCGACCAGAGGCAAGCGCAAGACGACGAAGGTTGGCGAGCTCCCCATCGCCATCACCCAACAAATCTTCGAGCTCCCGTGAAAGCTGAGGCTCATCCGTGCGGCTCGGAAGGAGCGCCTCGAGAAGCGCCATCAGCTGCCTAGTCCGCCCGATGGTCGCCGTGCGCGCGAGACTCCCAGCCGTACTTGACTGCTCCATCGCGCTGAGGCTCTTGAGGTACTCCAGAGCGCGATCGACGAGAGATTCGCAGAGGTTTTAGCTGCGGAAGGTGTGCCAGCCGCCTTTGGGCGGGGCGAGTCCCATGAGCACTTTATTGTCGTTATCGATGGTGTATGTCGCTCCCTTTATGACTGTCTAAGCATGCATATTGCCAGCTTACGACTGTTAATAGAAGACGAACCTCAACAAAGTCTTGAAGGGCCTCATTTGTGATGGATAGATGTTGTTGGACGTGTAGTGCTGCGGACTTCGCGCAAGTTCTTAGATGTGCAGCCAGCCGTGAGTGCAGTATGACTGCTCACGAGGATATCTCGATACTGGCAAGGCGTGTCAACATGCGAAAACATCTCAGTCCGCGATGAACTCCTACGATGTCCAAGAATGAAGTTGCGCATCTCGCTAGGCTCTCATTCTTCAGGAGATCTTGTGCATATAGACCGACGCCTTTCGTAGCTCCTGCATTCAACTGGTGAGCAGAACGCGAGATGTATAGAATGGACGCGCACCATTGCAAAGCAATATGAACGGGACGAAAGTCTGTCCATCTGAATAGCCTACCAGATGGGGAATATTCGCGTGCCTTCAAACGAACAATCAGTTTAGCTTGCCCGACTATGCTCTCTCCAACCGTGATACGCACAACAACTGACGCAGTAGCTTAATGTCTTGGACCCAGCGCTGAAAGGTCGTGTTAGACTCGTATCGAATCAAACTCAAGCACGCCTCACATGCACGTTTTGTTTACTGGACCCATAACGCTTCACAACGATCTTTTGACCTGAGCATCGGCCGTTTCGGAGAACCAGCCGGCTCCGCGTCGATGAGTACGTTCTATACGGACATCTTGCTGATGGTAAATGTTGAACTAAATAGTCTCAGTGAGCGGCTTAGGACCATGTATTAGAATAGCCACTTACGCCGTGCTTGTCTTTAGAGCCTTTGATGCCATCCAAGAACTCATTCACCTCCACATCCGCTCGAGAACGAACATCCACGCTCACAGATTCTTCTGGCGATGCCGACGTGTGTCCACCTTTCTCCACGACGGCCAGCGACGTTGAGAGAACCGGTTCAGGCAAGGCATAGATTGACGCGCTGTAACCGCTCCACCGCCGAGTGCGTGATGAATGAGAGAGGCAATCCAGAAGGTATATAAGCAGTTGCTTCATTTGGCAGCGCTGAGATGATGATACCTGGAAAGATTGGGCGGCTGCATCGAGCCTAATGTTCATGTCGCGCATGTTATCTTCGATCGTTGACTTGCCGACTAGGCGTTTGAGCCACGACGCATCGCTCGCAGTGGCCATGAACTCGCGGAAGACGGCCAATGTTCTGTGTCGGGCCGTCAGCCGTCAACATCAACGCGATGAGTCTCCCTGTTGGCTCGACGTACTGCTCAAAGTCATGTATATTGCTCACGAGCGCAGATGGGGCGGTATCCCACTTTCCCCCCAACTGTCGCGCGAGCTGACGCAACATTCGTGATGCTCTCCACGCTAGTCTTGCACATTCAGTTTTGTTCGTCTTAACTTCCTTTGGGGATGTCAGCGTCGGGTATTTGAGAAGACGGTAGACAAACATACCGCAACGACGTCGATGATAGCGAGGACCGTAGATGTAGCGATGCTGAGTGCAGGTATTGGGATTAATTGTGAGAGAGTCGCGGACATGCTCGTGATCTGAATGGCCATGTCATTGTCAAGGCCAGTGTGCCCCGTCGTCGTGCGACGCTTGGAGACCGGCATTGATGGGATAGGCGTTAGCAACGAAAGCTTTGGTGCAGCATGCACTGTAGATAGGTGCTCGTGGATGATGGGAGCGAGAGGCAGGTCAACAAACCGCACCCCGTGCTAATTCAGCTCATAGGGCGCTCAGTTTGACAGATCCGAGATCGGGTCGCGCGTAACCTATGGGAAAATATGTGTCTTTATATTGAGAACGAACAGTAGATGTCCAGAGGAGGCAATCTCGCGTCGCAGTATGAACGAGACAATGGTATAACTGCATAGGGCGCACAATGAGGTGGCGAGGACATGAGGGACGAGGACAAGGATAACCGGCCGCGCGCCCGCGTGAGCTCCCGATCTCGATGCGTCTGTGACGCGTTCAAATATATTCCTCTCTAACCTCCATGAGTCGATAGCTCGCACATGCCTCCTGGACCAGCATATAACTGGCTAGCTGCCGCTCACTCCTTCGCTCAGATACTCGGACATGCCGCACATTACCGAGCCTCGCAAGTTTCCGGTTACACTCTCGCGCGCCACGCCGTTTCGCGAGCGAGCTCAGGGCGCCCAGGAAGACATAGTCACCGCCAGTTCTGCCGAATTCACTCCTTCCAACTCCCTTCACAAAGCGAACGAAGAATGCTGCTGGCTCTCGCCATCCCAGCGCGTGTCTCGAGCTCGCGCGATCACTCCACACAACCCCTGCCGGTTGTGTCAGAGGACAAGCTCTTCAATCCTCTACCGGGCTCTAGCCATGCGCAAGAACTTAGCAGTGGATCTGAAACTCTCACACAGACTATCCCTATCGTACCGGAAGACGAGCTGTTCAATCCCGCCTCGAGCTCGAGCCACGCGCCATCATTCGCAACAAGAACTCCCAGCTCCGCTCCCGCTCGACAACCATTGCCGGTTGTTCCCGAGGACGAGATCTTCAATGAAAGGCCTACTTCGAGCAGCAAGTCAACCGCGGCCGTCCCGTCTTCTACGCGAGATGCAGAGCACCCGTCTAGGCAGCCCGACTCGCCGGCACAAGGCACCTCTCCCCCTATCCGCGAGGCTGCAGCGTCTACTGCATCCACGCTCGCGATCGCTTCGGCTCCTCTCGAAGCGACCCCGCCGGCGGGCATGGCCGTTCCTCAGCCCAGGCGAACTCTCCAGTCTTCCCGAGTTCCCTCATCTCGCATCGGACGGTTCTTCCACGACGGAGGTAGGTCATGCTCTACCATATAATCGAATGTGTATTGATAAACTTCAGGTCTTGCTTCATCACTTGGATATGGCGCCGCGACGGAGCTTCTCAGTGGCGGCGGCTGGTCGGGCTCGCTCATGATGACCGAAGCCAACATCTCGCGGCTGGTCGGGAAGTTGAGCCAGATGCGCGGAGCGGCGCTCAAAGTGGGCCAATTCTTGAGCATCCAAGGTACATTTGACCATCTTGTCGTTCAGAATCATGTCGCTTAACGGTACCTAGACACACGTTCTACCACCAGAAGTAGAGAAAGTGTTCCGCTGCGTTCAGGACAGCACGCATTACATGCCGAACTGGCAAATGGAGGTTCGCCTACTGCATTCTGAACCCAGCTTGCACGTATACTGATACGTGGAAAGAGAGTGATAAGGGCCTCTCTCGGCGATGCATGGCGAGGTGACTTCGTCTCTTTCGACCCCATCCCATTCGCCGCCGCATCCATCGGCCAGGTTCACCGTACAGACCTCTCAGCGGCTGTCTCGCCCACCGGAAAGGACCAGGCCGTCGCGGTGAAGATTCAGTTCCCGACCATTCGACAGAGCGTTGAGAGCGATATCGGATACCTGAAGGTGCTCCTCACTGCCGGTCAACTGCTGCCTGAGGGTCTCTTTCTGGACAAGACCATCGCCGTTCGTGTTAGAGTCCACCAATGTTGAACCATCTCTTCTCATACACTTATTTCGTAGGCCATGAAGGAGGAGCTCGCCGACGAATGCGACTACACGCGCGAAGCGAACTTCCTGCGTACCTTCGGCGACGCGAACCACTTCGGGGGCAACGAGCATTTCAGAGTGCCCTAAGTATGGGATGGCAGCTCGCAAAACGTATTCATAATGGAACACGTCGACGGGAAGAGTGTCGGCGGGGAGCGCCTATCCCAGCAAGACAAAGATGACGTAGGACCTTCGTATCCATCCCATCATCCTCACGAGTCTAACCCGAGCAGCCGACAGATCGCCTCCCGGATCATCGAGCTTTGCCTCCTCGAGCTCTTCCGCTTCCGCGCCAAGCAGACCGACCCGAACTAGACGAACTTCCTCTGGAACGAACGCACTCGCCAAGTCGAGCTCGTCGATCTTGGCGCCACGCGTACCTACTCTGGGCGCTTCATGGATAACTGACTGCGCCTGCTGAGCGCCGCCGCTGGCGACCACGACGCCTGCGTCGAGGCCAGTCTCGCGCTCGGATACCTCACGGGCGAGGAAGAGGACGTCATGGTTCGCGCGCATGTGCGTAGCATGCAGCTACTCGCTACGCCGTTCCGCTAGGATACGGCCCAGCCGTTCGCGTTTGGACCTGTGAGCGAGTGGACTGGCATCACGAAGGAGATTCGTGATCAGATACCGGCCATGTCAACGATGCTGCCATCTTCTCCCTTCACCGCATCATTTCAGTTTGCAAAGGAGACTAGGTCATGTTGCAGCATCGACTGACTCCACCGCCGCGGGAGACGTACTCCCTGAATAGGTTCGCGTTTCCTGGTTCCGAATAAGTGACATGCATGCTGATGCTACGAAAGGAAGCTGAGCGGGGCGTTCCTACTGGCGTCAAGACTCGGCGCTCGTATTGACTGTCGTAAGCTTTGGGATGAGACGACGAAGGACTATGTCTTCGGCAAGGAGTAGGAAGTTGTTTGGTTGTATGCCGATGTTTGTCCATCTGTAAACCGTCTACTGCGATAAAGCGCTACATAGCGCTTGAAGCAGGTGTAGCGGGATGTAGCGGGTGAAGTGGCGTAGAGCGAGCGAAGTAGCTGTAGTGAGCTGCAGCGCGCTAAAGCACGCTAAAGCACTGTAAAGCTCGCTTGAGCTGCCAACGATGAATTAATTCGGGATCAGCCTCTTCATCGTCCTTTTTGTCCTTTGCTCCCCCTCCTCGGTTTATGATACCGCTGTACTCAGCGTGTCTGTGTGACTCTTTCCATGTCAAAATTTCCGCAAATAACGTACGGAAAGCTATTGAACTGCGGTCGACCCCTCCGTCGAGGCTCCAGGTTCCAAGCGTCTTCGGAACGGAGTGGGCCGACGCTCCGGAATCTTCGAGCATCTTGACGCGGCTCCACGCGGCTCTACGCTCTACGGCGCTTCAAGCTTCAGTGAGCTTCGGAGCGCTTTGGCGTGCTACAGCTCGCTACAGCAGCTTTAGTCACTTTAGGCCGGTCCACTCGCTCTACGCCGCTAGGACACCTGCTTCAGGCGCTATATAGCGCTTTATCGCAGTGGAAGGTTTACAGATGAAAAGTCTATTCCATCTACTTGTATGGGGGTATCTGTTTCAAGCTGCTCTGTTGCTCTGGACGCCAACACCTTCTACATGTGTCTCCGCGTGAGCACGGAAAGTCCGTTCACTAGAGCTCCGGTCGGACTCGGACATCCGTATAAGCTGAAGTAATCATGTGAGATATCGACATACTTATATATACGCGCGGGTGCTCAGGTACGCATCGAGGTCTTTCGTGCTATCGCAGAGTCGGCCTCCTCCCAAACTGTGGACGAACCCTCCGCTCTGTGTAGTCTTCGACGTCGTTATGTCCGACTGGACTCAGCGCTTGAGTATGTCCAGGAAACCATGTATAAGTGCTGTGTACTCGACTGACTGTAATGGCATCGTACTCTGCGCCTCGAACGACCTCGCACACCATGTCTACACCCCGCCTCTTCCAGCCCATTTAAGTTGGCCGCATACAACTACAGCACCGTGTTGTGCACCCTTCAATGACCCGCAACCGTGTTGATAAAGACACGCGCGTAGTGGGCGACGACGTCGTAGACCATTACGCCCTTCGCGCTACCGTGCCCGACACGCTGCTCATAGCGGAGGCGACCTACATCGCTCCTAAGGGCGCCGCTTTCCAGGCATATGGTCGTCTGAGCAGATCCAGGCATGGAAGAAGGCGAGCTCGCCCGTTGACATATTCGAGTTCGTTGTTGTTCTGACCTCTTGTAGGTGACCGACGCTGTCCATGCTCGCGGCTCCTTCATCATACTCCAGTTCTGGGTATTAGACCGCGAAGCAAACCCAGAGCGCCTAGCCGCGATGAACCCACCATCCCCGCATCAGGGATACCCATAGAAGGGCGAAGCCGCGCTCCACGCGCTCTCACACGTGAAGAAATCCAGGACTACGTCCGCCTCCACTCCACCGCCACCAAGCTAGCCATCAACGAAGCGGGCTTCGACGGGATTGAAGTCAACGCCGGGGCCGGATATCTGCTTGACGAGTTTCAGAAGGAGTTCTCGAATACGCGCACGGGCGAGTACGGGGGGACGCCTGAGAACCGTGTGCGTTTCACGCTTGAGGTCTACGATGCTATGGCGCGCGAGGTAGGTACCGATCGCCTCGGAATCAAGCTCGTGCCTTGGAATACTGTCCGGGGAAAGGGTTGCGGTAAGCCTGTCTGTCCAATGGTCTTGCGTCTACCACCCTAACTCCTTGCTGTCTGTAGAGAACGAGGATCCCGTCCTGACGTTCTCATACCTCGTGTCCGAGCTACGTCGGCGCCATCCCGACTTCGCATATCTGCACGCCGTCGAGCCCCGACTCGGTCCGACCTGGAATGGGCGCCCTGTGAAGAGCAACGAGTCCAACGACTTCCTACGCGAGAGCTGGAAAGGCAAGCCGTATATCACCGACAGTGGCTACACGCGCGAGACCGCCATCGCATAGGCGGAGTCGGATGAGCTTACGCTCGTTGCCTTTGGGCGCGACTACACCTCGAATGTGAGCATGATGCCCGATGATGGAAGCATGTGCTGATTGGCGTACTCACGGCCCGACCTCCCCATCCATCTCCAGTACGACCTTCCACTGACGCCATATGTGTGTGATACATTCTACTCCACGCTCGATCCGGACGGCTTCAATACATTTGGCTTTGCGGAGGAGAGCAAAAAGATACTCGCTGAGCGTGGGGTCATCGTTGGCAAGGTATGAGCAAGAGAAGATGAAACAATCGTGGCACCGCGATGCCCTAGTTGAATATAGTGCGTGATAGTGTACACATGAGTGGTATCTAGATCCGCAAGCATTACAGAGACTGCTGGGAGTCATTACAGGTCGTGTCGTTTAAGAGCAAGTTCAGGAGCTCAAAGCTCCTTTTTCGACGATGGCTTATTGGAAGCTGCCGCTTGTGCGGATGCACGGCTCGAGTCGATCATGTCGGTGAACGGGCTGAGTTTGCTATCAGAACATATCCGCAGGTAAATAAAGCAGAACACGTACCCCTCGTACTCGAGCGCCAATATGTACACGATGTACACGTACAAGGTGATCAACAAGCCGGTTGGCCGCTCATGCCTGGCGTATCGCACATGTAAACCGCACGGAAGACCCAGAGCACGAGCATGTAAACATACCAGAGGGCAGTAACCGCGAAGCACAAGGTGCTTCCAACGTACATTGGGTCCCGCAGGACGTTGGAAGGAAAACCTTCGACGCGGGCATCCATGAGGATGCCGAAGTAGTCCCACAGGAACGTTCCGGTGATCCCAAGCGCCCAGGTCGAGGTGACGACGAAGAGTTGGCCGAGACCGAACAGCGCAACGAGGATAAGGGTTGAGCGGCTCAGGAAGTAAGGCAACTTTCGGCTGCTCTAATAATGCACGCTGATATCTATTGCAAGTCTTCTATTAGTACAGCATAACCAGAATGACCCAATGAACGCACAGCTGGTCGCGCAGGATACCGCATCCGAAAATCCAAGCGGCAAGGAAGTAGGTCCCCGCGTACGCATTTCCGCCAAATATAGGCGCGATCGTTTTGTTGTGGTACTCTGTACAATATTGTGTCCACTCTGGACGCAAACAAGGCCTGTGTGCATGCTACACACCATTGCGGGCAACAATATTCCACGCCGTAGGGTTGAAGGCGATCGCGCCGAGGGAGAGGAAGAGGGACGTCCTTGACACGTCGACGTACGGTGCCAGCGCGTCCATCGTGTGTGGTGGTAGGAAGCAAGCCGTGCTGGCGCGCTACAGCGTGCGGCGCGTAGAACTCTAGGGAACGATGATCGATGATCGGCGTGCCCCTCGATGACGAGATGTTAATTTCGCAACTTCACATGCCTCGGCCGAGTGGTACGTACTCTTCTGATTACTGCACAGCGGCCGCACCACGAGCGCACATTCGTCTGACAGCAGGTTCTCTGCACTGTAGGACTACTGTTGTATACATCAAAGCACTGGCGTAGTACCATGAAGACACGGGGCTCATGACGGAGATACAGATTAGAGGCTAAAGACGTGTCCTCACTTCGCCACGTCCGCGCGCCTATGCATCCACCGGCAGCGGGCCAAGATCTACAGCGCGATTGAGAAGGGGGCCCTCCATCCCTCCTTCTACTGTCAGGACTTGACCCGTGATGTGTCCACAGACCTTCGTATTCGACAGCAGTACTATTTGATTAGCCACATCACGCGGCTCAGCGACCTTCTTGAGGGGTGTCCTGTGGGAAGCGGTATGTGAGCATAGAAAACCGAACGTTCGTGTCTGAAATATACATATGTAGCCAGCGCCTGATAGATGATATGGGGGTTTGCGAGGACTTCTGTGACCCTTGGTGTCTTCACCTGCAGCCGTGTCACCACTAGTGAAGTGCAGTGTAAGACTTCTCAAAGTCTCACTCAGCCTGGCGCCACACAGTTGACGCGATCTTCACGATCCCATTCTTGAGGGAGAGCGTGAAGCCGTACATCAAGGCTAAACAAGCGCGTCAATCGTGGGCTCAAGAATGAGATATATATCTCGGGACGTACCACTCTTGGTCGCCGCGTAGTCTGCGCTTCCCGCTTCTCTATACTTTCCTGTGGCGCCCGATCAGCGTTGTGGCCATGACATAGAGGAATGACACTGACCTGCTGTGCTCCCTACGCCAACCACCGCAGCGCGCTCACCAAAGCGCCCTTCGCCTACGGCAACCCCAGCTTCAAGTCCCTTCAAATACTCTCTCAATCCTAAGAAAGAGTTTGTAAGGTTGTTGTCGAGCGTGTTCGACCAATGCGCGAGCGTCATGTCCTTCAGTGGTGCCTGGCCAGTATACACGGCATGGTTCACGACCGAAACTTCGACGGGAGTGGAGAGTGCGGCGAAGAGAGATTGGACAGTGGGCTCAGATGCCAAATCTGCCTGCGCGAGGGACAATGTGGACGGGTATTCGGCGATCAAAGGTTGCAAGGATGCAGCAGAAGAGCGGTACTGTGCGGTCACTCTTGGGCCTTGTTCTGTTTATGTCGATGGTCAGAAAGTCCGCAGAGAAAGAGAAAGCATGTGGAGCTACCAAGGAATACTTTGACGGTCTCTAAACCGATCCCTCCGTTCGCACCTTCCAGGACAGCCAGAACAGTACGTTAGCGAAGGCCGTACACCAGGCCAAAACAATAGTGAGCGTACCAGTCACCAGAGCATGCACGCCATCAAGGTCAAGATCCATTGGTCACAACCGGTGATATTGGTCTGGAAGTCGAGAGCAAGATGCCTTCTGGAGAGGGATGCCGAACTCCCAGGTACTTATCGCGTCGAGGTCGAGTCATTTTCCGCAGCTCGCGCATACGTCGAACTTATCCAAGCTTCTGGATTGCGAGCACACAGATATCCTGGAAATCGCCATTATGAATCGTAACAGGGTGGTAGTGACTAGTGATGGTGTAAGACAAGGAGGAAAGGCTCGATGATGCGCGCTGCCCGCCACCGCCGGACCATTGCTTCGCTCGTTGGTGACAACTCTCCCATCAGCGCCCATGTCATATACTAACTCACCTGGTGCCATGCGAGGGTCTCCACGTTCGCGTCGTAGTCTATGAGCAACTCGTCGTTGATGTGCGTGCTGGTGCTGTCTGGCAAGGTCGCTGTCACGCGCACCCAGGACCCGGTAGAGGGCACGGCGCGTTAGTCTGGGAGGAGGTTGTGTTCGGCGTCCAGCAGTTCGACGTTTGTGCTATGAGTGACTGTCAGCATGCATGCTCTGTGAATTCATGATGCGAAACGCACACGAAGTTCTTGGTCCGGGAAGATAGGCGATCATTCAGAAGCCGAAGAGCGCCAAAACAAGAACGCGCACCATTCCGGATAGGAAGCAAAGCCGAGCAGCGCGTCTCGTATGTACAACAGAATGCGGCGCGTTGATAGTCATAGACGAGTCGACGGTCAGGACGGCGACGTAGTTGCTAAACATGGAGAGCTTGGTGGTGGATCTGCGAAAGTAGAGCTGTTCGTTCAGCTGATGCTTATATTGAGGGGCAAGTGACTGCTGGCAGGTACTCATTCCCATATTGGCTTGGGCGCCTTTGCAAGCTGGCCTCTTACAGCTGAAGAAGAGCACTGTGCGCTTGGAAAGTCCACTGGGTCGGTCGTCTGAAGCCTTGCGGAAGAATGTTAGGGAAAAGATCGCACGGAGGCTGTAACGGGTACGTCACTTGCAGCCCGTGACGCCGCCGTACACGAGGCTCACAACCTCGCCAAATAGGGTATACTCCGGCGACGGCTCCCCCGGCTGCATCGTGGCGTCCCGCCACAACTCACGGACCCTTCTATCACAACCTCTCTTACCACCATATCCCCACCAATCCTTACTATGCTCGCTCGTTCCCTTATCCCTTGCTTGCTTTATATGTCCATATTCCATTTCTATCACTATATACGTATGCCTACGATGCAAGGGAGGTTCGGAGGATGTTCGGGAGGAAGGAGATTAGAAGGAGATGAGGGAGATAGAGAGAGGGGAGGAATGGAGAGGAATCGTATATAGGGAGGATCGTACTGTAGCGTAGATCCTCAGTTCTGCAATCCGACGCATTTCGACAGTTTCTCACCTGCTCGATTCTCGTCACCGCAAGACACACTCTCTCGTGTTTCCGACCCCTCAAGATCAACGCGCCGCCGCTCAACGCGTCGCATCGCTCCTCAAGGGCCGGTTTGTCATAGAGGTCCATGCCACTTGCACGCTATTAGGCGCTGACGGCATATGGAACCACCACGTCGTGTACCTGCAGCACTTCTCTGTCTCAGCGAGGCTAACTGCAGCGGGTATCGCGGCGAGAGTATGACTGCGACATGAGTGAACGTCCACGAGAGCGAGACGATTGCAATGCTCCAGTCCACACAAAATCGCATGCCAGTACAATATAGTATAAACATATGAGTCTGTAGCCCAGTAGTGCCTGATGGTATCGACGCTCGACTAGCAACGGTATAGTGGGATTGAAGCTCTATTGCCCTTGAAGCTCTCATTGCCCTTGACGCTCGAAGAGATCGTGATTCCGAAGCGCCAGGAGAACTCGTAGTGGTGAAGAAGGTCGAAGCGAAACATAGGTAAAGGCGCCACAAGAGCAGTCTTCACGGAATATCCAAGGGTCAGTACGATCCCGACACGTATGATTCCCGGTCGAACGCACTAGGTTCAAGTATGGCGAGAGTAGAGCCACTGTGAATTGAAGGGTGGGTGTTGATTGCTTGCAGCGTGATATGATATCACAGCGTACTTGCACGATTTAGGGCCACCTAGGAATGTCATTCTGGTGTGCGTTGGTGAGGTATCTTTCTTGGGAGATATCAAGAAAACGGACGAATGGTGGTATATCCCGGGGATCTTTGCCATCGCGACAGTCGCAGGGGGAGGCCTAACCTAGCGCTCCAGCCTCCAATTTTGCGGATCATCTCCCAGATGGGAGGATCCGTGTTGAGGTCATGATAGTTCGTGATCAATCATCTCTATGATGTCAGAATGTGAACAACATCTCTAGCATTAAACAGAAGACTCAGGGACTCACAAGCGGGTGCGAAACGGGAAGAACGTATGTTGACGCATGATTTCCCTATAGACTGCGTCGAGAGGAGGCTGGCCCATCAAGGCGTCGTACTCCAAATCCTCGCCTAAGGAAACGAGCTCTGCACATCAGAGCTCCTGGAACTCCGGATGGCACGCTAGTTAGTGGTGAAGACGACACAAGACCGTCGATGTGCCCTCAGCGCCAGTGACGATGAGAGTCATACAACATCGTGAGCACAGGATAGACGGAGTTCAATTGAGCGACTATCTGAGAGGCAGGGCGATCTCGATACTGTAACCGCCCCCATGAGCATAAGTATCTGTAGGTGGCCTATCGTAGGCATACCTGTTTGGTGATGGTGTTTACAAGAGGCGAGATGCGGCGCATAGGCGTCGTTGGGAAGAGAGGGTTGAGCAGTTTGGTGCGCCTAAGGCATCGCGCTTCAGATCGAAATCAATTCGCTTGGTGTAAGCACTCACCAGTTGTTATGACGAGACCGGACCCGAACATGTACTCGAGAACTCTGGATAGGTATCAGTCAGACTACAACGTGTTGTGATCTGACACGCACTTTGTCGTCACAGTGAAGTCGACCTCTGGGAAGTAGTTCAATTTTTCTGAGTAAAATAAGCGAGAGCGCGCGAGGATTGGACGTGCAGAGCGCAATATCCTAAGAGGATACAATTAGTAACTAGACCGAGCAGACAAACGACCACAATTACGCTAGAGATGCCATAGAGCTTCGAAAGAGGAGGACCCTTTCCACTGAGTAGATTGTTCGAGAAGCCTAGTCTCTCGGCATTGTGCAGCTGTGCTAAGCTTCCTGCGGTAAGTGTCAGCGCAGGGCAATACCATCTGATAGGGCGGAGCTTCACCTACGAAGAAAGAAGCTCTAAATAGTCCACGGATCTTGCGCAGAGGGAGATGCTTCGCACGTCGAGAGTAGAAAGCATGTGCAAGCCGTAAAGGGAGTGCACAAGCGAGGACAATGAGGAGAGCGGTCGCGGGAGACGTCCTCTCCCGAAGAGTCTATCATGCCGCCCCGCGCGCCTGTTGATGTAATGAGCGAGTCTCTCTATGACTGCAATGAGCACTGGGGTCTATCCACTATCTGTTAGATAGTAAAACGGTGAGCGAGGAGAGGGAAGGCCCACTTTCCACCTCGGAATCGCGGTCTGGGCCGGCGATCCATGACTTGACAAGACACGTGAAACGCGGATAGGTCTGTCTATAACACCACCAGTCAGCATATAGTTCCGTAGATGCAGATAGAAGAAATACCGATGTGTCTGATGGACCAAATAAGCCACGTCCTGCAACCAAGGCGTCCATGGTATCCGGCACACCATGTCATGCCGCGCTACGCATGTCCGGTTCGCTCTCGTAAGCCTAACTCTTTGCACAGTGGAGCGCACCCCATGAGTAGTCTCAATCAAAATTGCAGAGTTCACGATGGCAATGTAAGTATGGGCATCTGCCGAAAGCATCCCCGCACCATCTGAGACGCTGAAAGGCGCGTCAGATCTGATATACTCACTAGTATGCTAAGAGTGCGTACTAGCTATCGGCCACTCTTCACCGTCGCATCGTTGGGAGACTCCGACAGAATCTTTCAGCCTCCGAACTGGATGCAATTCCCGGCCCATGGTACTCATGAACGCCGGGCACCAACAGGCCGAAGATGACGAGTTGTCTCTGCCGTGCCAGAGCGACTGATTTGGCACGAAGACAGGGTCAGATAGGCGGAGCTGACTTTTCATAGCGAGTAGCGGCATCCGCTGGATGTATATTGGCGAATGATCAGATAAACTATGGCCGGAAGACGCGGCATTCCGGGGCTCAGGATGAGTTCCGGTTTGTCGCCTAGGAGCCCAAAAACGTCACCGGCCCGAGAGCGGTCCGGTCACAAAAACCGTCACTTTTTGGTCACAGCACTCTGTGCGCTTCTGCGCGCTTCGTGACGCTCTTGCTCTTGAACGCTCATGCGCTCATGTCTCACAACACAATGCTCGGCGTGTGGGTCCAGGTCTGGCGAGAACTTGGACCCAATGCCAGGTGATGTTCTGGCCCCTCGCCGTCGGTGCGTTTATAGACTGCTTGCTCACTGAACGTACGTATTCCTTGCCCCAATGTCTAAACGTCCGTGCTCACCTTCACCCGATCCCAGGTCGCACAAGTGTCAGAAGCAGGGCGTCGGTACGTCCCTTTCAAGTCTTTTGAGCTCTCTTTTTTCTTATTTCTCATCTCGCACAGGATTGTATGACCCTTCTGCATCTCATATTCATGCTTGCAGGAACGCGTCACCGCGCGCCCGCGATCTTCTCCTTCGGTAGCGATGTCTCACTTTCAACAGTACTGAGCGCAGCGATCCAGATCCAGCGAGGTGCTGGGCCGTTGGTTCGGGGCTCTAGGACACTCTACGGTTTTGCTATATGAGGGCAGCACTCGACGCGGACAACAGGGCCCACTTACTGTGCCCCAGTTTGGCACTTGCTATTGCGGCCCTTAAGTTTGATTGTCGGTGGGAATTATTCACCGCCGAAGGTCAGCTGGCAATATGCCAACTGCTGATTGACGATGGTTCCATGTTCATCATGGCCGGAAACTTGACAATCTATGCTCCTGTAGAGCTTACAAACTACTCGACCTGTGAATATATACCATTGACTAGGACCCGTGCGTGAGCTGAGGGCGAGCGAAGCGAGCCCGAGGTGAACGCGGGACAGAGCAGAGATCAGTTATCGAATATCTTCAACAATGACGATAGACTTGCCGAGGACGAAAAATCGCTCGATCAAGTGCGCCTGGTGTCACAGACCTATGTGGAAGTACAGGAGACTGGTCGAAAGGTGTTACATCGGGCATGCGCCAGTAAATAACGATATCCGAGAACTAAGCATACGTCGTAACATTTGCATTGTTCACACCTTGAAGGGAGTTGAGCCCCGGAAATGCCCCGGAGGGGCTGTGGCAGTGTCATGGCAGTTGCAGGAGAGAGCGTCAGCTCGCCGCTAATTCCGAAGACGCGAACCGTCACATCTGTCACACATCAATCACAATGCACCCGATCATCTGGTCTTAGCGATGTGCGGCAACGAGTGGACGATAGAGGATAATCAAGCAATAGCTTCACACGACACTACTACTTGAGACACTCCATGCGATAGTAGGGTGAAAGTGTTGGATCTGCGGCGGCATAACCGCTCAGATCCTCACTAGTAGACGCGGATGCAATGGCGTACTTCGACCACGCAACCTCACCCAGCCTCACCCATCCGCTCCCTCCACTCCTTCACCATCCCCTCCACTCTCTCCAATCTCCACTTCACCTCTTCTCCACCTTTCATCCTAGCCATATGCATGATGCTCTCCCTTGCCTTGCTCAACTCTCTCGCTATCTCCGCGTTCTGCCTCAACCGACGTTGAAGAACTGGAGCGGTGCCCGCGTCGAATGTGTGGATGTCGAGGGCCGGATGAGAGGCCAGGGAATGAGCTGAGTCGAAGGTGCGGCAGTGGAAGAGGACTTGAGGCGTGGAGTGGGATCTCAAGTCGCTGAAGGGGCGCACGGGGATGGCAACTGATCGATTGTTGACGCATGTTAGCGAGAGAGAGGATCGGCAGGGTCGTCGCCGCACATCTCTTCCACCGCCTCCACCATTACATCTCCTCTAGCTGCGCCCTTATTGGTAGATTTCAGCGTGTCCGAGGAAGGGGACAAAGTGACCACCATCCGCGAGCTCGCGCTGTCACTGGCACTTGGGTCAGCACGCTCATTTACCTGCGAAAGTATCCTACCCGCGAGCTCACCAACGGGAGGCTCGAAGAGCAAAGTGGTCGGACGCAGATCATGGGAGCGCTGCAGAGTAAACTGCATCAGTGGAGATTGCGCCGAAGCGGGCGGACACCAGGGCGAGGACGACGCAAGAGTGCTGGCGGGAGGAGCGGCGAGCTGGGATCTGTATCCAGCTGTGCCGCGATACGGGCACGGGCGATGGTGCGCCTCAAACACCACCCGTCTAGGAAGAACGCTGAACACTGTCCGACGTCGTGTCCGGCGTGATGTTCGATACATGCTCTGGGGCCACCTACGACTGCTTCGGAGAGCACATCGAGGGACGACAGGGAGCACTGAGACTGCTTGGATATCATGTTAGTCCCCAAGATGTACTTGGCGCGTACTTGGCGTACTGCACGGAGAGGTTCTTGAACCGCCTTGTTTGACGTATCTTCCGGATCGCAATATGAAGCGCACGAAGTCGGGGTAGTAGAAGGCGCTTTGTACTGGCACAGACGCTGTCTAAATGGCAACGATGATGAGATATCATCCAACATATGTAGCCCTGAGTGGCGGACCTGGAGTTCATCACAAGAGTACTTCGGTGTAGACGAGAAACCGTTGCTCAGTGTCGAAAAGCCGTCCTGCAAAGCTCTATACTGGAATCTTCCGAAGTCGAGGGGTGCAATTGAATCAGAGGATATGAGATAGCGAAGAAACCGCTCATCGGCGGCAGAAAGCCCGGTCCCGCACCCGCGCGCGCGCACGGTCCCTCGTCGTCGGCTGTGGATGTGGAGGACGATGTGTTTAAGAAGGGTCCGCCGCGGAAGAAGAAGAAGGTCGTGCGGAGGGTGATCGAGTCGGACGATGATGTCGAGGGGAGGGTGGTGGCGGTGGCGGGGGTGAAGAAGCCGCGCATCGGCGTGTCGGCGTCGGCGGCGGCGAAGGGCAAGGCCCCCGCTACCTCTACCTCAACTACGACAAAACCCACACCGAAGATCCCTTCGCCGAAGGTCAAGCCCAAGCCCGCGGTAGGACCTAAGAGCAAAATCACGTCCTCCGATACGATCAGCATTACCGACTCTTCATCTGACGACGCGCCTGCACCTACACCCGCTCGTCGAAAGGCAGTTCGAGCGGCACAACCGCAGGAGGAGGAGGAGTCCGATGATGATGTGCCTGTAAGGCGTCGGAAGGCTGTTAAGCGCGCAGCGCCTGAGGATACGGAGAATGAGCGAGGTCGCGGCAAACCCGCCGGACCCGTAGGAGCGACCCGCAGCTTGCTAGTGTAAGATTTATGTAAACCTGGCGAAAGCCTGGTCTGGGTTCGCGCATACTCCATTCGATTCGTACTATCTGAATCTACGAAATACTTAGAAAGCAAGCATAGGCCACGTGATGGCATACTCAGTCCGGTGCACCGTCTACCAGCGTCTACCAGATCAACTGTGGCCAATGGCGAGTGGTTGTCAAGTGATGCTGGGCTTGTCAACTGGATCGGTCCCCGCCGCTTGGAACGTTGCAAGTTCGTATACATGCGTTTCCTCATCCTGACTAACGGGCACCTGGTTCCAGTCTTAGCGCCCGTGCACTTGTGCTGAGGTGATGTGAACTATACCTTTGACCCCCAACCTTTAGCCGATTTGCTATGGGGTCGATTGGGTATGTCGTCGGCATCCCCATCGACGCGCCAGTCAATTTCAGCGCCCTCCTTGCGCTCTCCACCGCTGCAACAGCGTTGAGGTGGTACGGATTGGAATGCCTGGTCCCGAAGGGATCCAGGTTGCACAAGCAGTAATGCTTGCCATGTACAATTTTCCCTAGTCGTGGGAGGGTGACGTAGATAGTCTCCTCAGTGATGTCATCAATCTCGATGCACTTTCGGCTAGAATCTAAGTACTTACGTGCTTTTCCGTTCAAGTACTGGGCTCTACCCTGTTGGAATGGTGTCTCACCGCTACAATCATGGTAGTGAGTTGGGGTTCAGCAAGAGCGACGACATCAGTGACTTTCATACCGAGAGGCGCGCGGAGCGCGACTCGAGGTGAGCGCGCCAATGAGAGCGCGCGAGAGTACCAGACCTTACCACGGTCATGCTGGAACCATCCTGTACAGTATAGCCTGTAGTGCAACAGGTCGCAAGGTATCGCCAGACACTCCGACTTGCATCACAAAATTCCGGGACCAGGGACGCCTGGAAGGCCGTACTATTCATTTAGATTGGCCTGTATTGTCAAAGGGTCGGTGATTGTACCGCGCGAGTTGTGTACGTCTTAAGCCACGAAAGCGTGTGCCAGAAAGCAGCACGACCGCTTTGTCCTGCCATGCTTACTTATACATGCGCGCCAGTATCGTATTCTTGCCTGATGCGCTGCTCGAACCATATGCGTTAGGCATAATTGACCTCTCCGCGGGTCTGCCGATGGAAGAATATCTAAGCCCTCACAAGCCCCAGACAGGACGCGAGCGGCGTCGAGCGAAGCGCAAACTTCAGCGATCGGCGTCTACCATGTCTGCGAGCAAAGCCGAGCCTGTCGTCATTTACGTTGATCCACATCATCTCGAAGTAAGAGTCTGTCTTCGACTGTCACCAGACACTGAGAGTGAAGTCCCATAGCCGAGCGATACTGCGTGGGCACAGTGCCAAGACAACTTGTGGCACCGCGTGCGCATCGTGAAGAAAGACGTGAAGGGCGAGACACATAAGCCAAAACCATCAACCGGCCCTCTGGTGGCCTCTTTCAGTGGCCGTCATCTTGTTGCTCATACTCAGTACCACGCCCGGTGGCGGCCCGGAGGTGGGCAACCCGATCGCCCGGGCGTGTTTGCGCAGATCAAGCGCAAGCTCCTTCCGGATACCATCGAGACAAAGCGATGGCTGCTTGAGGAGGTCGGGCTGGAGAATATCGCCGAGGATGATCGTGAAGGACTGAGTGGCATCATAGTCGCTCCGAAGGGTTGGCACCCTGTTATTGAGAAGGCGGACAGGCGCCGAGCGCCGTTCTAGCAGCGTAGTGTATTCGAGCTGTTTATTCCCATCGATTGTACGCGTATTGAATGTAACCGCAACACATAGAATATCTTCAGGGTGTATTTTCAGAGTAAGGTGAATAACATAGGCATGAGCGGGTGCCGGTGCATGGTGGTAAGAGGCAAACTCGGGCGGCGCCGTGCGGAAGCTTCGGATCCCGCGCTCGTCCGCCTTGACGGGGACATCCATGTCGGTTCGACGCTCAATACAGCTCCCCTGCACACTATTACTCTATCACGTAGTGTGAAACATACGCCTCA